CTGATTCCTCAACATGACGTTGGGATCATATGGAATTCCTACAGGCTGATTAATCGGTTGATTTGCATGAGGCCTGATGTTTGGTCCTTGATTGGCAACAAAATTACCATAATTAGGGCCATTACCATTAGCCTGAACATCTATTCCCTCGTTAACACGTGGGGTGTGCTGTCCATTGTTTAGGACATTATCTCTTGCATTTGGATTACCCCCCAAGTTAGGCGTACCACTACCATTGTTCTGATTTGGCACTGCAGTACCCCCTTGGTTTGAAGTAGAGGGACCAGAAAGTGGTTCTACCCCTTGATTTGGATTTAGGATTGAGGGATTATGTCCCACAATTGTCTTAGTTTGAAAGTGATTTGCAAGAGGTATAACCGGTTGACATATTTGGCCTACTAACTTATTCATTGTTTCGTTCAAAGTATTTAGTTGTTTGGCCATATTGTCATAGTGTGCATTCCCATTTTGGGTAAATCTTCCCATATTATGAATATTTTGAAGATTTACCTATTCAACAACGTCTTGTGTGAGTTCTCCAAGTAATGCACGCATGGTTCGAGGACTCAACTCCGTCATTGGTTCGTAACGACTGTTACTGCTCTGATTCTATCCATCTGTTCGTGGAGAGGCATGCTGCTCCTCATATCGCTCGATCACAGACTGGACTCCTCCCTGACTTGCTGCTTCCTTATCGGATCTCTGAAACATATTGTTTCACCTTTTGTACTTTCAACACCAAACACCACTGTCCCACTGGGCGTGCCAAATTGTTTCGCGCGGGTTAGTCGCTAACAATTAAAAGGGATCAGACGATTGTGTAAGGGACAAACCTCTTGAGACAAAGTCCCAAAAAGGGGTGTTCTTTTATTGGCGATGACTTTACAATTGGAAACCGAAAACAAAGTGCCTCCAAAGGCGCAAGCATATGAGTTACTGAAAAAATTGTTTAAGTCTAAGCTAAGAAAATTAAAATTACATGTTCTCTGTTCGAGAATTTTTGATTCGGTCTTTTTCTCTACGTCTTTTCTCCCTTTTATACTTCATGGACGATCTCTTTGTGATCAACCGCCTAAAATTTGCTTGATCGTTCTGCAGCAGCCCACTTTTCTCATAATGATCAGCTTGTCATGAAAACTGCCTTATTTAACTGCTGCCATTACTCTTCGTCGTTCAACCATTTTCGATTGAATTCCTTGAATCGTGGAACGTGATGGGGCTGCTTTAATAACTGCTTTGATAACTGCACTTCTTGATAACCACAACGCTTTATGTTTGTTAAGACTTTGGGCGACTTGAAGGTTTTGGCGAGAATAGAGTAATAGCTCTGGAGACTGCATGGCACTCCATTCGCTCAGATTCTGGGCGACTTGCAATTTTGGGCGATGGCGTTACCACGTTCTTGGGCCTCCCTATTTAGGCCTTCATCTTGAATTGTTTGATTGGGCTTCGTTCTTTGGGCTATCTGATTTGGGGATTCTCCAATTGGGCTTCATTCCTTGGCCCGTTCGATTTGGGCTGAATTTTTATGTGTCAACAATCTTTACAAATTTATATGGGTCCTATATTTGAAGATGACCTAAGGCTTCCAAAATTCATTGGCCAACCTTGATATTACAAGTTAACAACAATTGTAATTTAGCTCCTTTGATAAGGCTGTTAAGGCGTAACTACGTATTAGAATACTAAAGCCACTCCTTAGCCTAAATCGAAAGGGCATAGGAAGACTAGCAACTGAACTTTAATAGAGTACCTACAAATGTAAAATGCTTTTGTGATGTTATTAACAAATAGAAATTCAAAGTCAAGTTTTATTTCGACCATAGTGGACATGAGAAGGCAAGATAAGAGTGAAAAAACGAAGTACGCCTGATCTTTGATCTTTCATGGAGATTCAAATAAGTGTTTTAATAGATCTTGATATAAGTTGATAAATGTTTGATTGAAAAATTATGAATTCCATAAATATATGGTTAAAATTAATTATTAATTTTGAGTTAGATTAAACAAAACAGGGGCTTAGAATATGAAAATGTTTAAATAGTGTAAAAATACAATGAAAATATTGTAATCTTCGTTCGTTATATAAAAGCACGGGTGATATCACATAGTCACGGGAACCCCCAACTTTTAGACAAATCCTTTTTTTAACTACCATTGATTTGCCATGTTTTTGTCTCAATTTTTCGAAGTTATTACGGGATACCAAACGAAGTTGAAAATATTTCATTCTTAATATCATTTCAAAATGCTAAAGGCCTAGTTTTCTACATTTTCAATGGTGCGCAAAATGGCCAACTGTAGCTAATGTTATGGCTTGTCAAAATTAGATTGTTCCAAATTAGTATTTCGAGAATTTCAATAACATACTAACTTAAAAATTCTCCGACGATCATACACTAACCAAATTCACAAATTGCCTATGTCATCTCGAAGCTTGTTTCGAGAACTACATTATAAACACATCGAATAGTCCAAATATATATCAAAGATAGTTAAAAGTCAAAAAGAGACATCTAACTCGTTTTTTCTTTAAAATATTTCAATTATTTCATTAACATTTATTATTTTTGCGCAAAAAATTTCTCAATATAATTTACATCATTTTATTAGAAAATTTTATATGGGCATCACAACAAAAGATTTCAAAATGTTACATCCGAAAAAGTTACAACATGTAAATTTTCAGATGTAAAATTTGGTGTAAATTTACAAGGATATGATTTTTTTGGATGCAAATTTTCGAATGTAAAATTCTTCATAACTTTTTGCAAATTTAATTGTGTCCCTTAATTCAAAATGTTTGTGTCGGCCATTGCATCCAAGGTAACATAGGATAGCTCCAATCAACCTGTCACTACATTGGCATTGATCTCTATTAGTCTAATTTCCATTTTGTTTCTATTGAGAATTATAAATTCTAATTCTATTCCACTGAAAACGTTCAATTCAAAGAGGAAAAAAACAAACACTCAAGAACAAGCAAAATTTATAGATGTTCACCTCAATATGAGACTATATTCTCTCTCGTCACTGCAATAAATTACTGAAATAAAAAATGTTTACAAGAAAAAATCATAATCCTATTTTCTCTAACCTCTCTTTGATAATAATAATAAAACTTGAGACAACACCCTATTTAAAAGATAAATTAGGCCAAAATCGAATCTTGCAATGACTTCAATTCCTTAAAAGAATTTTGCATCTTGAACTGTATTGAAATTAATCATATTGTAAACTTATGCATCGATCTCATGTCGACCTAATATTAGGTGTATATTGTGTATTTTATACACGTTTTAGCCTTCAGATAACATTAATGTTCTGAACCTAGTCTTTATCGTGTAGATATATACATTAAAAATCAATTTATGTTGTAGAGGTTAAGAGGTAGGTAGGCACGAACCGTAGAGAGAGAAAGTGGGACCCAGTCAACGAATGTAACCACCATTTAAACCCGCGGGAAAATTTGCCGGCCTTTACCCGTTCACCAGTTTTCTTTCTTACAACCCGAAATGGGACCCGATTCCCCATTAAAATATGTCTAAAAATAATATAAGAAGATTCAGAAAGTGGGACGCCAATACAAGGAAAACAAATAAGGAAAATTTTTTATTGGTCCTAATTTATTGTTTCTGAAGAAAATTAGGTCCCAAATTTCATTATAGTTTTTTTTTCCTATCAAATTATTTCCAATTGGAGCACAGTAGAGTATTTATTGAGATTGATAAAAAGAAAATACAAGTTTTGGAAAGGGCATATGACCTAATTTAGTGGCGGAGTCAAGAACTTTATGTTCTAGGGCTTGGTTTCTTTGCAATGCATCTTTTTAATTTGAAAAAGAGTAATGCTATTTGCAATTGCTCACTGCGGTAGTCGTTCTACGTGACATACACATGGCAGGTGATTATTTGATGTATTAATGTGGTAGTTTTTTTATTCATTAATGCATCAAATAACCACCTGCGACTGTCGCAGTGAGCGACTGTAAATAACATTATTTTTTGAAAAACTAATAAATGGAGAGCTCAAAATAATAAGTGAAAGATGACCATCATAAACAAATTTAATAATCCAATTTTTATCATTTAATTCTCATTTATCAGCACTTATATCAACTTATTTTTAAGTTATATTCTTCACTCGTTGAGATAGATTTTTGTTATCGTATCAATGATTAATGACAAACTTCACAACGCATCCTTCGGACTAAAAAATCGTTTAAACTAAGAGATCAAAATAACGAGCCAAAGATAGCTACTAGAAATGAATTTATCCAAAATTTTCTCATTTAATTTATATTTTAGCGTAGCCTTTTTAGCTTATTTCAACCTATATTCTTCACTCGTCGAGGTGGGTTCTTAACACCATTTTCGAAGTATTTATAGCAAACTTCATGGCACATCTTTCAAATTGAAAAAGTTACAAATGACAAGTTTAAAATAACAAGTCAACAAACTATAAAAATTGGATTTAGTAATCTATTTTTTCTTTTTCATTGCGTGACCTCAATTTCACTTGTTTCATTCATAAAATTAAAATAACACTACGATAAAATCATTTCATGACTCATGTTCATTTTTTGGGCAAAGATGAAGCCTTGCTTTATCCCAAATATCAAGAGGTCCTGTTATAATTGTTTAATAAAAATTTGCTAAACTTTGTTGACTTATCAGTTGGTTAAATTTCAAATTTAATCATATATTTAATAAGACTCACAAATTTTATCAATTTTATTACTACATATTTCATCAGTTTTTATTAAAAATTTGTCAAACAACCCCATGATTTAACAAATATTTAGACTGTTTTCATCATTATAGACATGCAGTGCAACTATAATAAAATACTGAGAATCAACTTGCTCCTTTTTAAAGATTCAAGATCCATTTGCTACTAGACAATAGGTTGAGGACCAACGTTGAAGTTTTTTCCAGAAAATTAAGGAATGAACGTAGATTGTGGAGAGTGGTCGTGTCTGGTGGTGGTGTAGACGGTGTAGGAGAGAGAGTGATAGAAAACAGAAACAAAGAACTATTTTTAGATAGAGAAAACAAGAGAGAGAATTTTTTTTTTCTTTTCCCTTTCTCCTTTTCAGAGTATGATGGTCGAAGAGAGTTTTCACCTCTGAGATCATCCTGGAAAAGGGCAGTCAAGAAAATCACGCACAAATTCTTTGCATTCGATTTCTATCTTCTAATTATTATTATTTTTTTAATTCAAGCTGCCATTGTGAGTGTCACAACAAATTCATTTATTTATGATCTGCCACCTTTTCTATTTACTGCATTTCTTGAAAAAATTCTGCAGGAAAAGGATTTAAATTACAGGCTGCTAATGAATTCGTTGTATCATCATCGACTGCCCTTTTTCCCTCTTCTTCAGGTGAGCTTTTACTCTGAAACTTTATAAATTTGTGCCCTTTTGTTTTTTTCTTATTTTTCTTTTTATAGATTGCTTGTTCTTATTGTTATTCTCTTTTGATTTGTTCTCTTTTTGATATGATTCTTTTTATGCATGTGGAATACCCCTTGTTTTGTGCTACGTTATTCAAGAACGAGGATTGATAATTTTTTGACATTTGCTACATTTTTCAGCCAAAAATTCAATCTTGGAGATAATTCATTGAGCCAGTTTATGCGACTTTTCATGAAAAGGGAGAAGTAATAGGCCTAATTTAATAATAGTTGAAGATGAGAGATCCCAATTCGATCACTACGTTGAAGAAGGATAATATAGATTCTTCTGTTTGTTATATAGTTTGTGCCTTACAATGAATTTGTAGTTGTGCAGTTTTATTGGTTTTGTCAGATTAAATTGTAGTTGTTTTTACATTATTTGTGTTGTGTCCGAGTAAGAAATTGTAATTGTTGTCGAGTTCCGAGTAATTCTGCATTGCTCGGAGGGTTATTTTGCACAAGAAAACTGGCGATTTTGTATTGCAACTTGTATAGAGTCCTGGCTGTTGGCAGAAATCAGAACTGCCTGCACCATTGTGACGTATGGTTTGGCAAGCAATGGAGGGTAGATGGACGACTAGTCGAATCCAGTTATCAAGTTTTTTTCTTTTGATTCTCTTTTTGGAGATTCAGGTGGGCTGTTCTCTCAATTCTGAAGGTACTGATGTCTTGTTCTAGTTTGAAACCAATTCTTATCCTCTGCATGTGAGGTTTAGAAATGTTGAGCACTTAATGCATATTTGGTATGTAGCATTGGATGTGATCAAAATTTTAGCTAATTTTTCTTCTTAAATACTGTCACGTACTATCCAAGCATCCCTACCAAACATGCCACCGGTATCATTATTGACTTGATAGAAATGCAAATGCAGGATTAGCATTGCTGGAATTCCGAGCAAGGGTAGAATGCGATCCGTCTGGAGCTTTAACAAATTGGAATCCTAATGACTGTGATCCATGCACCTGGTCGGGTGTTCATTGTCTGAATGGTGAAGTGTATAAGTTGTAAGTACATGTCTTATTATTTACTCCAAATCATAAATATGGTATTGTATACGAATATAACCAATTTTAGTTGCCTATTTGAGGTAATGCCTACATGCTTAAGTTCCAACAAATCTTTTGAAATAGCAGATTTCTTCCCTCCTTTCCATCCCATCCTGTCCCCTCCTCTGAAATTTATACATCTACCATACTATTATATTCTTCATATTTATGGAAGAATGGCTGTATTCCTTTATGTATATATATTTTTTTGCTCTTGTGAATAGGGATCTCAATGGACTGTACTTGCAAGGAATATTAGCTCCTGAGCTTGGAAATCTTACTCATTTAAGATTCCTGTGAGTATCAACTTCTTCATTGACTTTTATGTTAATCAACCAAGTCCCGTATCTTCTTTTCACACTTGTTGATAATAAAGGACTTCAAGATTTTCTATATGTATTGTTTCAAATTTTTATAAGTTGATCATATGCGGACCCTTTTTCATTGATCACAGTAACCTCTCCAAGAACCATTTTTCGGGCACAATCCCTCCTCAGTTTGGGCAGCTTAAGAAACTGGAAGCGCTGGACTTGAGGAATAATAATCTGAAAGGATCAATTCCTGCAGAATTAGGCGGATTACATTCACTGAAACGCTTGTGAGTTTTTTTATTCGCCAACATTAATTTATTCATGCTGCTACAAATAATACTATCCATCTTTGCTAATTTCTCTACTTTACTCTAGGTTTCTTTGTAACAACAGATTTGAAGGAAGCTTTCCTCCTGAGCTTGGGAAGTTTAATTCGCTTGCAGATTTACAATTTGATGAGAATCTTGAAACTGCTACTGATGCTGGAATTGACTGTGTGAATAGAAAAATTGGTCACTGGTAACATGTTACTTCTCTGCATTTCACATGTGAAATTGCCTTTCAAAACTTAAACCACCTATATGCATAAACTCGTGAAGAGATATAATTTGCACTAATTTTTCCAAAAGACAGTTTCTACTAATTTCTTACCTCTGACGAATCTTTTTATGTATATGACTATAATTGTCATACATTAGACTTCTTACTCACAGTTTCGTCACTCAGTAAGAAGCATATTTGAATTATCATCTTTTATACACTTTTTCATTTAATGTTGATCATGTCTTGTGCAGCACGTGGCAGAGTGGTCAGAAACCATCAACGAAGCGAGATTCATTTCTGATATCAATTAGAGAGATCCTAATCCACCACTTCAATCTGTTCCCTTTGTAAGTAACAAAAGGTTTTTACCATAAAGATTCTTGTTAATTTGTCATTTTTTTTCTTCATGTTGTTTTATACATGAAATACATTGTCTTTTATCAAGGTTTGGATGCAAATCATTGCACAATTATGCTGATAATAGCTGTAGCAATCTACCAAGTAAGCACTGACATTTTTTCCTTGGGTAGAATCCATTGATGGTCATTAAAATTTTAGCATTTAATTTGTTCCATTTGGTCACTGTCAGTTTGACTAACAGAAAAAGTGATGTGGGCAGTTTATTTATTTACCAACTAGATTGCCACATCATCTTTTCCGTTAGTCAAACTGGAGGACAATTAGCAGAATGATCAAATTGTAATAAACATGCAAGTTCAGTGATCTACTTCAGAGAAGTTTAATTTAAGCAAGTACAATGAAATTTCACTAGAAGTTCAGCAATATTTTATCCCTTTTCAGTTCTTTAATCAAATAGGGCATGCATTTGTCAAATGATATTTTTTCTTGCATTTTCTAGGTGCTCTTGAGCCTTATGTCGTCGAAAAAGTCAAGAACCTAACGAACAATGCACGTCGTATACTAGTGGAACAGTCAAGTAACCTTGCAGCTGCCCCTGCCAGCATTAGTTTGCCATCAGATCCTATCATTGCTCTTCCAAGCAGCAGGAGTAGCGGATCATTTCCAGCTATACCAAATAGGAAGGAACCACCTCCTGTTCCCGTACCATCACCCACTCCACCTCCACAAAACCAGCCACGTAACACAACTAATCCTCCTTCGGATTCGTCTGGTGCTGTAAGTAAACCAACGGATAAACAATCTTATGACGGTGAAAAATCCAAGAATTCATGGAAGTATATCGTTGGGATTGCAAGTGCAGTTTTCCTGCTAATTTTTGTGGTAGCCATCATTGTCATATGCAGAAGCAGAGCAGCCCAAAAACTAAGTCCTTGGAAAACTGGATTGAGTGGGCAGTTGCAGAAAGCATTTGTTACAGGTATGCGTGCTCCTTGTGGTCCAAAACCTGGTATGAAAAGGCTAGGTTTAAGAGAACCTTGTAATAAAATTATTTCAAAATAATTTTTTTTTTGTTCAATATTCTTCAGTTTGGATAGATTTTGTTCTTTTTTCCTCTTTCTTGCTTGATCTAGATATGAATTGAGGTGAAACTTGAAGCAGAATTCATTGAGCATTAGTAACAAAAAAATATAAAATGCAAGTGCTTTAATTTGCAGGGGTTCCAAAGTTAAACAGAGCTGAGCTAGAAACTTCATGCGAGGATTTCAGCAATATTATTAATACATATGAAAATATAGCAACTGTGTACAAGGGAACTCTATCTAGTGGAGTAGAGATTGCTGTTGTTACAACTGCTATATCATCTCTGAAAGATTGGTCTAAACATTGTGAATTGACATTCCGAAAGAAGGTTATTTCATTTTTTTGGAACAACTTGAGGGATTATTAAAGTAAGAACAACTCTTGCGAATTCCATTCAAACTTACTAATGTTTCTTTTGCCACTTCAATAGATTGACATGCTGTCGCGAGTGAATCACAAGAACTTTGTTAATCTTATTGGATACTGTGAAGAGGATGAACCTTTTACAAGGACGATGGTTTTGGAGTATGCTCCAAATGGCACTCTTTTTGAGCATTTGCACGGTATTGTTCTTTGGTTGTAGAAAGAGCTTGTTTGGTTGTTCTTAAAAGTTACTTTATAGAATACACTTTGCCCTTGTTTGAGCCCCATTTTTGTCATAAAAATGCATTTTTAATAGCGTATTGATATGAAATATTTGGTTAAAAAATAAAGAAGAGTTTTGGATTTGTGTGTAATATTATTTTATTGAAGAATGTGTGGTTGAAATTATTTCAAAACACTGTTGAAGAATGGGTTTTTTTTCCAAAGAATGGGGCTCAAACAAGGGCTTCATAATAAAAATTTGGACTTGATTTTAAGCACATCGAAACATGAAAAAAATTCTTCTTTGCTTGTCATTTTTGGATACTTGATGTGTTTTCATGAATTGATTCTTTGTTCCTTCAGTTAAAGAACTTGAACATCTTGACTGGAATGCAAGGATGAGAATAATCATGGGGATAGCTTATTGCATTCAGTACATGCATGATCTGAATCCACCGCTGGCACATTGCAACTTGACTTCCAAAATCATATTTTTGACAGATGATTATGCTCCTAAAGTAGGCTTCTTTCTTTTCATCAATTTTTATGCAATATTTTATATCTATGAAGTTCACCCCATTTCTCCCCTTATCCCCATTCCCACCCCATGTTCCTCGTCCCTCTGCTATTTGCATTTACTGGAAGCTTTTGAGGAACTATGAATGAGGAGGGAGCGGCACTATGAAAAGGGAACCATTTTTTAACAAGGATAAAATTGAAAATATAGTGCAGACAGAAAAAAGGCATTTTAAACAAAATTTTAGTATGACGGGCTTTATTTATTTGACTATTACTAGAAAGCTATTCTGAAAAAATTTCATAAATATTGTCGTTCAATTTTAATGAAAGAAATCACTTTTCAGGTTGCAGAGATCGATTTTTGGAAAGAACTCATAGCTAAGTCAAAGAATTTGGAGAATAACTCCGAGCATTGTGAACTGCCACCACTTGCTGACGGAGAAACAAATGTTTACAGTTTGGGAATATTATTGCTTGAAATAATCTCTGGAAAGCTTCAATACTCCGAAGACCAAGGGCCTCTCATTAATTGGGTATCTATCCATTGGAATCGCTTCTTATTTGTCTTTATTTTTCGTTATGGATTGAGTCATACTTCTTATTTACAAGATCAACAAAAGAAATGGAAATCTAGCAAAATACACAAATATATGTTGGTTCACTATGATGAAGAAAAAGAAGATTATGATAGTGAGTTGCGTCTTCTAGTTTGTATCTCATGGAAAATGGTCTCCCTAAGAATTACGTAGGAAGGACGACCTAGTAAATAAATAAAATCTTTGGTATGCCCATGAACCTAACTTTTTGATGTTTTAAACGACATTTTTGAGTGGATAAGTGTACAATATAATTATGCACCATGAAGTAGGACATTTTTGAAGTTTGGAATAGCTTGTCTTTGGTTAGATAATTACTAGCATTTTATATTTCAACTCTATAATCTGAGATCATTTCGATTTTGTTAGGCTTCTGAATACTTGAATGATACGAGGAAGATCAGCAACTTGATTGATCCATCCCTAAAGTCCTTCAAAGATAGCGAACTTGATGTTGTGTGTGAAGTAATCCGAAGTTGCGTTCAACAAGATCCACGAAAGAGGCCAACAATGAAAGAAATCGTTCAAAAATTGCGGGGAGTGATTGATGTATCGCCTGAGGCAGCAGCACCAAGACTTTCTCCCCTCTGGTGGGCTGAGCTTGAGATCTTATCACAAGAAGCGGCTTAAGTTTACTTCGTATATAGGATGTAAGTCAATTATATTTCATTTTACTTAACTTTTTTTCTTCAAAAAAATGCTAAAAGAAATCACAACTTTATTTCCTTTTTATTTCATTAATTTGTTGTGTCATTCTCCTCATTCATACTATTTATTTCTTTAATGATGTTATCACCTTGGAACAAGTATATATGTAATATGATACTATATATGTGTTTTGTGAGAGAAAAATGGTATGTAAATTAAAGGCAATATTTGACACGAGAGTCGAATATCATGTCTATGTAGTTATATATATTTGGTATTTTTACTATAAATGGTGTTGAATTCCTAATTTGATGTTTCTGTTGTGAATTTAAGGCGAATGAAATGGCTATTTATTTACTTATTTAAAATTATCTTAAAATGTTGTTCACATATAGTTCAGGTTGGATTTATTTTTTATCAAATGACACATGAACTTGGTGTAAGGGAGTTCGACCATGGGAACCTAATCACCTCTTTGAGCTTTTATGAATCGAAAAATAAGTTTGATCATCTTTAAGTCTACACGTGTTATACTCTGAATTATTCATATGGAAGAATTGGAAGTCTACCTTATACATTACCTTTATCACATATTTCATACATCTATAATCTATAATATATTAAAATATCACATCAAGAGAGAATAATTTTTTGGACGATTTTAACCCTCCTACAATTCAATTATTTCAATAATATATTACTTTTCATTTTTCAATGTGTAATAAATAATACATAATTATTGTTGTTTATAAAGTTTGTGTTATTAATTCTCAATTAATTAACATTCACATTAATCTAGATTCAATGAATTTTTACTCGATAACTTTTGAATTACATGAATCTAGAGTTATTATAGATGAATTTATTCATATTTATGTATCTAGAAATTTTAATGAGTGTTTAAATCAATGTGTTAACAATTAATTTTTATAAATCAAATGTAATATAAAAAGATTTTTTCACTTATAGTATTTCATCATTACAAAAAATTTGAATAATAGAAATTGAGTTTTGAGAGTACAATTTTATTTTCTTAAATTTCTATGTTAAATTTTATTTTCTTTAATTCGTCTGAGACTCATCAAACCCTTCAACAAATTGGAACCAAATATTAATTTTGCATCACTTATAAAGTATCTTAAAATAACGTTCCTTCAACAAATTGGAAATAAATATTACTTTTACATAACTTATAAAGTATTTTAGAATAACGTGCAATACACGTTCAACTTGTTCAACTTTAACTAGTCATACTAAAAATTGTAATTTCTCGAATAAGATTCACTTTTGAGATACATTTATGTTGAAAATGATAAACTTTCAAGATTTAGTCTCACGTTAAATAATGTAAAGGTACGAGTCTCTTTAAAGGATAAGGGCATAACATTAACAATGCTTGTTGAATAAACACTTCGGGTATGAAATTCAATATTCTTTGTTACTATTTCATTAATGTATAATATTTTTTTATGTCTAGATTCCAACTATTTAATTAATGGTTAATTAAATAGTGATAAGGATATCGAGTACTCCAGACTCCAAGAAACTGAAAATTTTTCCTTCAAACAATTAATTTGTATGAAAGATTAATTGAATAAAGTTGAAAGTAGATCACGTATACATACATTTGAAGAATAGTTTGTACCGTGTTTTAATTGTATAGACTCGAATACACGTCAAGAAATAAATTTGAACTATGCTTCCCGGGGCATAGCTCAGTGATGCAAATGATAGGAGTGAGGTTATCTCACGCCTTGTTGGCAGCCGCAATATAGGGGTTCGATTCTTGAGACATGAAATTGAACTCCTTATAGGTGTAGTGTACATACAGCTCTTGTTCCCTGACCTATTGGGGGCACATCCCGCGATTTACCTCCCTCACAAAACTCTAGAAATGGGGCGGTGGAAGCCCTCAAGGTTGGGGTTCAACCTTTATAAATTTGAACTATATGCACTCTAAAATAAAACATTCTCAGTTACAAAATGGTACCATTTAAATATTAAATACGTGATAATTATGTTGACATCCGAACTCCGATTTAATAAAAACAGTTCGCTAACCTTATCTCAGTTAAATGTGAGTTCGGTCCTTATTCTCAGGTCGGACAATCCCGCCGTTACCTTAGAAAAATATGATGATTACCCTTTGTCACATCACCCTATCTGTCACATCACACTTGCCACAGGTGACATCATCACCGCCCGGAACAACCAATCCTAAGTCCTCAACCTCCAGCCCCTTACAGGTCATCATTACCTGGTGAAAACATTGACACATGGCCACCGGCCTCATTGACCAATCACAAGAGAATCCGACGATCCGAGGTCCGAGCTCGGTACTGTTGCTGATTTGATTGATTGATTTGATGTAATGTCGGCTGAAACTATGTATAAATAGTTGAATAGGACTCTTGTAAAGGGTAAGTGATATTCATACAACAACTCAAGACATAATTACACTCTCTAAACATATTTTCTGGTTTTTTTTTCAATAATAAATCGCCTTTTTATCTTAAAGTTGGCTTAAAATTAGCCTTGTTAATTTTGACGTCAACAGTTTGGCACTAGAGGAAGGGCTCTAATTGTGAAAAATAGTCTCATTCTCTCCATAAAATTCGAGAGCCATGAGTCGTAGCTCAAGTTCCAGAAATCCATTTCCCACCCACCCTCATGAAACGAATACACCAAGTTCTCCATGACGGCAAGACCCTCAAACGACCGCCATGAGGGAAACCTGTACCAGCCATCAACGTAACTCCCCGGGAGTGCATAAGACAAACGTATGGGAATCCGAGCTCATTCCACTAGACCAGGATCGAAGGAGGAGAACCCGTCGAAGAACTAGAAAAAGTTCAAGTCTGTGCCAAGGATCCAACAAAGGAGCTCAAAGTCGGGTGCGAGCTGCAGCCATCCACTCGAAACGAAATTGTGGCCTTCCTTAGACAAAACCTTAATGTCTTCGCTTGGAATCACGGAGATATGAGAGGAATAGACCCTAAAATCGCATGCCACAAATTACAGGTGGATCCTTCAGTTCGGCTACAACAGCAAAAACGACGACCTCTGAACCCTGAAAGATACGAAGCACTCAACAAGTAGGTGTAAAAACTGTTGCATAACGGTTTCCTCCGTGAGGCCAAATACCAGAAGTGGGTCACAAATCCGGTCCTTGTGAAAAAACACAACTGAGATTGGAGGGTATACATAGACTTCACCGACCTCAACAAAGCATATCCAAAAGACAGTTTTCCTTTGTCAAAAATAGATCAAATGGTGGACGCCACTGTCGGACACGAACTGCTTCATGGACTCCGGATATAACCAGATACCGATGTACGGCCCACATCAAGAACATACCTTGTTTGTAACTGATCGAGGCCTTTACTGCTACAGAGTAATGCCATTTGGTCTTAAAAAAGCTGGTGCAACCTATCAACGATTTGTGAATTCCATGTTTTCCCAACAGGTCGGAAAAACAATGGAAGTGTATGTTGACGATATGCTGGTCAAAAGCATCAAGGCCAAGGATCACTATCAGCACCTGATCGAGATGTTTGATATACTGAGAAAGTATGGAATGAAGTTGAACCCAAGGAAATGTGCTTTCGGGGTCAGCTCTGGAAGATTCCTAGGTTACATTGTGAACAACCGAGGAATCGAAGCAAATCCTGAAAAAATACAAGCTGTCATCCAAATGAGGCCTCCAACTAAAACTAGAGAGGTACAAAGTTTAACTGGAACTCAGCCGGTTCGTCTCCAAGTCTACGGACCGCTGCAAACCCTTCTTTGACACATTACGAGGAGGAAAGAAGTTCGAATGGACCAAAGAATGCTAGGACACCTTTAACGAGCTAAAGAGACAACTAGCTCAGCCTCCATTGCTTTCAAAACCTAAGGCCAGCAAGGTCCCGAAGCTTTATTTATCTGTCTTAGAACACACCATTAGTGCAGTTCTAACCCAAGAAGAGAACGGTGTTCAACACCCAGTCTATTACGTGAGCAAGGCACTTCACGAAGCTGAGCTCAGATATTCACCTGTAGAGAAACTGGCATTCACCCTGCTAATGGCCGCGCGAAAACTAAGGCCATATTTCTTGGGATACCCCATTGAGGTCCTCACCAACTCTCCATTAAGGCAAACACTACAAAGACCCAACACTTCAGGTCGGATGGTAAAATGGGCAGCCGAGCTCGGACAATTCGACATCAAATACATGCCACAATCCTCCATCAAGGAACTACAAGAAGAAACCTCATCGGGACTTTATGTCGACGGTTCATCCACCGGAGAACGATCTGGGACAGGCGTCGTATTGATCAACCCTGAACATCGCAGATTCTATGAAGCCTTGCCATTTGACTTTAAAGCCTCAAACAATGAGGCAGATTACGAAGCTCTCATTGCCGACACAGGATGGCCTTAGGGTTGGGGATCTCCGACCTGATCATACATAGCGACTCTCAACTAGTCGTAAATCAGGTCAACGGTGTATATATGGCGAAAGAAGAAAGAATGGACAACTATCTACAAGTTGCGAGAAAAGAACTTGAAAGGTTCAACACCACCGAAGTCAAGCAAATTCCCCGATCGCAGAACGGTCACACCGACGCACTGGCCCGGCTAGCCACCAGTGAGAAAATTGAAGAATTCGATAGCATCCCCGTGGGAAGAATATCCCTACCGTCTACCGAGCTAGACGAAGTGGTCCATATGATGATAGATCCCAAACCAACCTGGCAGAATGAGATTGCCACCTACCTAAAAATCGGGAAATATCCCAAAAATTTTGCAGAGGCTAGAAAACTTCGAATCAAGTCGGTCAGGTATACACTCATTGACGATGTATTATACAAACGGGGATATTCTTCACCTTTGTTAAGGAGTTTAAAAGAAGAAGAAGTTCAACATGCCCTGCAAGATGTTCACGAAGCAATATGTGAAAACCATTCAGATGGGCTCTCACTAGCCCACAAGATCATACGATAAGGATACTTCTGGCCTGCAATAAGACGTGATTCCCTTAAATTTTTCAAAAGATGCGACAAATGCCAGCGGCTCACCCCCATCATAAACGCTCCATCGCGCGAGTTGGACCCAATAACAACACCTTGGCCCTTTGCGAAATGAGGGGTCGACCTAATTGGACTCATGCCCGTTGGAAAAGGAGATGTAAAATTCGTCATCATCGCAGTTGATTACTTCACCAAATGGGCCGAGGCAGAGCCAC